TAATAATAATAATAATAATAATAATAATAATAATAATAATAATAATAATAATAATAATAATAATAATAATAATAATAATAATAATAATAATAATAATAATAATAATAATAATAATAATAATAATAATAATAATAATAATAATAATAATAATAATAATAATAATAATAATAATAATAATAATAATAATAATAATAATAATAATAATAATAATAATAATAATAATAAAATAATAATAATAATAATAATAATAATAATAATAATAATAATAATAATAATAATAATAATAATAATAATAATAATAATAATAATAATAATAATAATAATAATAATAATAATAATAATAATAATAATAATAATAATAATAATAATAATGATAATAATAATGGTAATATAACGTGGTAATATGACGAGATATTTCTAGGCATCATTAATTTTTTAGACAATTTTGATAAGAAATTTCACTGCTCATTGATAAAATATTTCATTATGTGAATATTATTTCATCGCTATTATTGCTAAATATTGAAAACTTTTTTATAGAAATTATTGATAATAACTTTATTCGTAAAAAAAAATTTCCTTTCATTCATTCAAATCGATAATTTTATTGTTTGGCAAATGTTAGATTTTTTTTTTTCACATGATAAACTACCAAAAATATTCATACAAATATGATTTTATTACCGCAATGACACTTTTTTCTTATCATTCAAATTCAAATTTGAAAAAAAAAGTCCGTCAAACGATTATTTTCGATTTAATATCGCTCAAAAATTCTCACCATAATTTATTACTGTTTGGGATTTGATAATAGCATCATAATTCAAGTGTTGAACCTTCAAAAAAAAAGAATTTCACTGACAAATCTGAAGGGTTGACTATTCATTGTTCAAATTTTACATTAAATTTCATAATACACTACTAACTTATTTAATTTTTAAAAAATGCTGATTAAAGTTTCACACTTTATTAAAAATTTTGATCGTTAACTTTTTAATATTTTATATAAATCAGAATTCTTAAACATATATATGTATATATCAAAGAATTAATTAATATGAAAGGAAAATTCCACAGAAGTTTAGAGCAAAAAGTAATATTTATCATTAAAAATTTAATTCAATAAAATTTTCTCATCATTTTAATTCGAATTAATTTTAATTTGTCATTATGAAAGATTTCATCAGCTATATTCACTGTCACTTTGTTTACAACTTCTATGTGAAGTTTTTTATTTCAATATGATAAATTTTGAAAGTATATGAAAGTAATACATATTACAATGAAATTAACATCAGAATTATCAGATCGTTTCTTTTTATGCAAAAACGACTGCATCATTCTGAAATCAATTCATTACCAATACTCTAATAAATATCCAATACTTTAATACTTAAATATCCAAGTAATTGGCCCTTTAATACGTTAAATATTTAATGAAATCTTTTGAGAATAAAACATTGTCTGTAATTTATCATTTAAAATACTACCAATGTTAACTGATAACGATCATGTATGTACCGCTAAATATAACTATCAAAAAGATTCGAAAGTGAATTTGGTACCATTAATTAGAATTGATTTGAAGCTTTAATGCTATGGATAATTGTGAAATGAATTATTTGCTTGCAAATTACTTGACCAAAATTTAAAAAAAAAGAAAATTTCAAAAATATAATTTAGAACTAAATGGAAACTTCGATATTTTTAAGTAAGAATAAATAATCGAAATTATAAATGGAAATGAATTTAACTAAAACTTGATCACTATTCCTGTCTGAAAAAACAATGAATATTAAAATAAATCCAAACCAATAGGTGGATAAATATAGTGGCTTTTATCATTTCAGAATTTTGCAGAAAACCGGCTCATTTCCTGAAAAATTCTAAAGTTTAAAGTAGTGGACGGAACATTTGACATGGTGAGAATCGTAGTGCGGAACAAATTGATGAATAACTGCGAAATGTTCTTTCTCCTTTAAATCACGTATCTGTCATTTTATTGCAAAAAGGTTTTTATCTTTTTTTTTCTAAAAGAAAAAACTGAATGAGAAAGTTCGGAATATTTCGATATCTTTCATGAGAAATTATTAACCAACGATTGAATGAAACCATGAAAAACTCTATATTTATATATCATTGAGATAAAATGTTTATTTCTAAGTTATATAATAAAATGAAAACATCAAATGCATATAAGACTGAAGATAGTCATATTTTTCATTCAACACTTATTTGTATTACACAGACTTTTGCTAATTGTCAAAATTATTTTTACTAAACACAGATTTCCTTATAGCAAGCAAAGGAAAAGAAGTAATGAGAGATAAAATCTGATCAAAGCCTGACTGGCGGATAAGCTCAGAACTAGCTTTCGGATACTTTGTACTGTTAAATGGACATATCATCTATTCCATTGTAGGCGAATTTCAGAAATGTTTAATATTCATTTCTAGCAAATTATATTGCGTAATATGAATAATGAGTAATTCCAGTATTTAAAGGTCCGAATTTTACATAAAATTTTAAGGCAGGCAAAATTTTTATTTGGACAGAATCAATTTTAAATTAAACATGAATTTAGAACTATTTACAGAACCAAAGAGTAACAAGTTTCGTGAATGATTGATTGAAATATAGTGAGACTAGAATATTTGAACTGTACATAACCGGCTGCCTCTACTTTCACGACAAATTTGACGAAAACGTTGAATGCAGAATTTTCATTTGACGTAATAGCGGACAATTCATTGCTTGGTAATACGGGCCACGGATGATATCCAACAACTGCAATGTATAACAAAAATGAAATGCAAAAGGAAATATTTTTGAGTAGTAAAGCACAGGAAGAAGAAAGATGGGAAAACGACTAAAAACGAAACGATGTAAATTAAGGAATATAATTTAGATTTTACGATTTGAACACTGGGAATAAATCTTGAACAATTCTTTGTGCACAAATTACAAATTACTCAAACCTTACCAACACCAATCCCCTTATTTCCCATTGCTTGCATGCTAAGCGATGAAACATAACTTCTTCAATTATCCACAGATTCAAGATAAACTACTCATCACTGTAGCATAAACACTTTACGCAGTGCTACAGGTAGAAGGTAGACAGTAGTTTTTGTTAGTAGAAAGATGATGCGCAACATTCAGCTGTTACATAACCAGATGGATTAAAACAAATGATAAAATAGATGATATCATAAGCCCTTTTTGGATATATACACTCAGCTGTTTAAGCTAGCATAATGTGACAGCAACAGAGATCAGTAACTGTAGTAAAAATTCTCCTGCTAGGATAATCAATATCTTTGATAGAACAATGAATCAATCGTTCTTGGAGAGATTACTTCCTAGTAAATTGTAGACAATTAAACTCAGTGTAACCTGAACAATCCTTGTCAAGTCAAGCAAAATATATTAATGTTTTGGTAATTCAAATATGGTATTTTACAAACCTGTTCACGCTTGATAGTTGCAGAACGGCTTATTTTGTGCAAATGATCGATCTCACAAACAAGTTCGCTACGTTTTGTATTGCTAATTGATGAATCGTACTTCCTGTGTAAAATTATTCTCAATTCAATTCTGCATGTATTATCATAACACATCAACAGAGCCGAAAATATTTGCAACAGAAGCTGATAATAGACAGCTGATAATTTGAACGAAATCGGATATAAACCCAATGTATATTATTTATTCAATTTCAGTCAAAGCAAGACTGTGTGTGCAACCATTATAGAAAGGCTGCATGTGAAAGAAGGTACGATTAACGTGGTTCAGTCAAACTTAATGCCAAAAAGTAACCGAAGTCTAAATTCTGAGAAATAACAAATCTCTTACTCAAGGAGTAGTTTTATTTGTGAGCGTATACGATCATCGTAACGCCGAAGTGCAGCAGCAAATGCAGAAATGAAATCAACCACATCACTTTTTAAAATAGCTGAAGCTGTTGGATGAAATCCAGGAAGAGTACGTTTCAAAGATCCAAGGACATTCTGCATGGCCGCATGCAGAGAATGTGAATTAGATCCAGCCTATCAAATTGTAAAAGTAAGATGCATATGTTGATTGATCTTATCACTAAGCGATATCTGTTATATCATTCCCGTATAATTAGGAAAAGTTACAAGAATTTATTGTGATATTCTTTTTAAAACAAAAATACCTGCGATAAAAATGGATGAGGTTTTTGATTTGCAGTAACTGTCGGCTGAACCAGTTGCATTAACGAACCAGGTTCACTAGCAGAATATATTCGCTGATTCTGCACAATTCGCCGAGCATCAACAAGCACTTCTTTCGGCCTGATATGCAAAGGATTATCACAATTACATTTCGGTACTGTATCTGCCGATCCTGGCGAAACATGCACTGTAGTCGTTGGTGTAATAGCTAAATGGCTCATCCGCGGATTAATCAAATTTCGACCTAAAATCTATGCTTTTTTTGAAGACTTCAAATTAAAACTATTTTCAAAAAATAAAAATTTGGAACTATTTTAACTAAATGAATTTTAAATTTGAAGTATAAGACAAATTTTTAAGAATGAAAGCAGGGTTATATTTAATTTTTTCAACAAAATCCCGTGTGGGACATATATTTGTTGCACATAAACATCCACAGTATTGAAATATTGAAATAAATTATTGATAATTAACAGGAATAAATCTTACCCAGATGGATACAAATCATTCGACAATATGTGGGTCTAACAGATTTAACCAGTATTACGCAAAATGAGTTTACTGTCCTTTTGCAACCATCACTTATATTACTATCAAATATATCATTTCTATGCTAAGGAATTGGACCATATCGGAACTACAGCGCTATGAAAAAGAATTACCGCATATTTATCAATGCCGCTTTTCGATGTCACCAAAAACCTACGTAAGTAAACTTGATTTGAAAAATTAAGGATTTGGGTAAATCAATTAACCAACTTGTTGCAGTAGAAGTAGTTGGATTGTGATAATCGAATTCATTACGAATATCGCAGTCATCACGAGCTTTTTCAACAACATTATCAGCAACATATTCGTGATTCGAATAATTCGAACGATGTCGTTTTGCCAAACTCATTACATGTTGTACCAGAGCTGTGTATTGGTTTAACTCTTCACGAACTTCTCGTAAACCTCGAAATTCATACGTCTCATCCAATAATAGATCCTAAACAACGAAAAAACTGTATTTTCATCATTATTATTGAAAAATAAGTAAAAAATACTTATATATTTCAACTGATTATTACTATCATCAAAAATAAGCATCATGAACAACTATCATCATCATATTCTCATACATTACCGGACAATAATAATCATTATCATCACTCTTCTTTTGCATCGTCAACAAAATTTTTTGAGATAAGCTTCCACAACAATCTTACAAAACAAATCAGCTAACAAGACTTGTCAACAATAAATTCTGCATCATTCAATCCAGAAGTTCCAAATTCAAACAATTCCAATATTTTAGCTAAAAATTTTAAATTCTAAAAGTAGTCATATTATTTCCGTCACTATTATAACAATGGTAAGTACTCCTTTCATCACTATAGTTTAACATATCATCTCACTATTGCTCTTCTAACCTTAATCTGAGAGTTCTTAAGATGTTCACCGAACAGACAAATAAACAAAAAATAACTAAATAATTACCAAAATAACAAATCAACAGCAGTGTTAGCTACTTCCTGCATAATTCATCAGATATCCCACCAGGATTTTCAAGTCTCACCAAAAAAGTTCCAAATTCATACAGCGATAAAAAAAATACTCCATATTAACTTCTCAATATTTCTGCTATTAACCGAATTTACTGCATCGGATTATTTTACTACATATCCCTTACAAAATAACTTAATGAGATAAGCTCAGTGATGCTAATAGAAATGACGGCAATACAATAAATTTCCATATTATTAAACAAAGTCACAGCTTGGATTTTCACCCTACTTCACAACATATAAATTCAGGTTAACCTGTTCTGATTCATTCGATTTCATTTCTTTTAAGAGTGACAAAACTTTATCGACCCGCTCAACTTCAAGTTGTTGTTTACGAAGTGCTTCTGCTGCATTCAATTGTGCATTCCGGATGATATCATCTGAACAGTTTGGTCTTTCACTTTTAGCGTTCATCATTTCATCAGTCGTTATCATCTAAAATAAATCTCATTCACCAATAAAATATTTATCCTATTTAAATACAAAATAAGAAAGTAAAAGTATCGCACAATTTCCAAATCACTCGAACAGAATATGATACTTCTTGTCTGTAATAGGTGATGAGAAAATTTTCCACCTAACTTTAGCAAAGATTGCAAAGATAACTGCTGCAGACCATATTGAATCACAGTTACACGTAAGCCCATCACTTTTCCACTAATTTCTTCCACTAATCCATTTTGCATTTCATTCAATTTATTGAATATTGAATTACTTCTTTTAACAAGCTATAATATCCTTCTCTCTCTCTCCCTCTACCTCTCCCTCCTTTCAAAAGTTAAAAAAGAAATTATCCAATCAACACTAAATTATTTTATCCCTCTCCCTCTCGGTAACAGCTGGTAAATTCTTTAACCCATTGTCTTGCCATAGATTGTTATCTCCGTTATAAGACCTACCTATTTAAATATCCCCTACTTTTCGCGCCAGTTCTCTCCCATTATTTTGACAAACGGTATATAGCCAATCAAAATATATGTCACAAATAATCCAGTGCATAAGTGACAAGCAACAAATACATCAGTGATAAACAGTTAAAGCGTAAAATGTAAGTAAACTGGATAGTGATAGCGGAATTCCGTATTCATTTTTCAAATACCAGTTAGAAAGACAATAAGAAACTTGAGAGAACTTTTTCAGCTAATTCTTACTAATGCATTTTCTGAATTAGATAGCCAATGATCCTTAACGTAAACAGCGTGGACTATGTTCATAATTAATTAGTTATTCTTTTCCACTAATTTAAAATCCATAATTGTTTCAATTAAGCTTCTTACGAAACACACGCTAACCTAAGCTTCTTACTGCTCATATTTAAACTACGCACAATCCTTTTCACAGAACGATCAAAGGCATACTGTTATGACGGAGAATTCAGTTTATGTATACTTGAATATGACATCAACTATCCCCGTAAGACGTGCTTCTATATAGAAAATTAGACATTAATCGTCCCGCAAATTATGGAATTATCGGATAACGATTCTGACATTATACGTAAGCCATGAATACCTGTCGTTACGTTCGACGATACCAATAACTTGATTCATACTCGTAAAATGGTCATACAGTTATAATCAGAACTTCAATAAGTACCCAACGTAAAAGAATAGCGTATGTTTCGACAGCTTCTCCTTGACGAATATCCCAATGTGAGTTTTACGACTGCTCGGATTTCAACTCTGCGGAGTAAAACTTCTAAAGGATTAAGAATCAATAATTGCAATTAATCTTTCGCTTATTGAATTATAGAATACACGAAAAAAAAACATACACACAACATACCTGATGATAGAGGTAGGGATAGTAACTTTGATTGTTATCCTAAATAGATAACTTATAACAGTGCGATGCAGTCTTTTGGCACTAGAAAGTAAATTCTCTTCTAACCCGAATCGTTCCCGCAATTTCGCGATATTACCGCACTTTCACTCCTAAGACGAGGCTTCACGAACGAAAATTTGAGTAGGACTGTATCCATGCTTGATGCAAACGCTACAAATGTGTCCTTGTATTCTTCCAGTTTGCGCAGGCATAGAGTGAGCGGAACTGACCACACCTTTATTCCTAAGGTTTACCTATCACGACCTAGCGAACAAGACGGTGACAGTGAACTCCTCAGGATATAGATTTAGTTAGAATATCCTTCTCTAAGGTGGATGTTCTTACAGGGTTAACTAGGCTTTATCTACTCAGGTTTGGAGTTAGAGTTATTCTTCTCCTAGAATGGTTGCCGTGAAGCTAGATGTGGACAGAATTTGTCTAATCCTTCAACTGAGATATCATAACTGAACTATTACGACATATCATCGTCACACCACGTTCCTTTAGCCCACTTAGCCAGAATGAATTCTTCTAACCTAACCTTTGCCAGAAAATCAGAGTGATAGTATAAATACACCATTAGTATAACAAAACCTAATTGGGTCATTGGCAGAGAATAAAAAGTAATGTCAATCAAAGACGCAGTATTCGTACTATCCAACGACGTAAACGTAATAGGTTTTGTTATATCTGTTTCGTTTACATCGGGCTTACATGTGTGGGATAGCATCCATTTGAGTAATACATTTCCTTATACGTCACACACGTCATATACGTTCGAGATACGTTATATATGTCACAGACGTCACATACTCATACACCTAACATACCCAAACAGAAATTTATCATAAAATAAAATTACAATCATTATAGATGTCGATTAAGTTTTTTTCTAACATTTTTTGTTTCAGTTTATTTTTAAATTTAATAAATTTCGACGTGAAAAACAAAAAGTTCGATGAAATTTTTGCTTTTTAAATTTATTACATCATTTTCATATTTTTACGACGAAATTCTTGCTTTTTTTTTCATTTCAGATATGCAAATAATTATGACAAATGATTTAAACGATTCCAAAATTATAGTAAACAAGGTGAAATGAATGGATAAATTGTTAGCCTTATCAGTTTTATGAAAGATGAGCAAATGATTAGATAAATGTAAGAAAGGAAAGTCAATGGATTAAATGCTCATAATTTGCATAAGGAGAAAAATATCTAATCGGCTTTATTTATGATTTGCTAATTTTTAACAAATATCGATTACAATGTAAATGAAATGCGGAAAAAATAAAAGACTTCTAACCTTATTACTATTTAAAAGGATTAAAGAAAGTTCAGTTTCTTCTTTCCGCAACATATTCTATCAGACTTTAATTCTTATGACGAATAACGACTGCTTCATAGGTAGTCAAGGTGATGTAAATAAACCAGCTAATTTGCCTAGGGCAGTTAATTTGCAGCGCATTTTGGCCCATTTTTCGTAACGTAATCTTAAAAATCTCAGATTTTATTTCAAAATACATAAAACTAAACATTGTTGATTTTGTTACTTCTTCTTCATCATTATCATATTTGCAGGTTCGGGTAAAATTTGATGACAAAATTGGATTAGGAAGTATATTCCAGATATCATTTATCAATTTTGTCTATGAGATATTTTAAGAACAGTTAAACGGAAGTGATCAGGAAGAAACTGTATCGCCATAATTCATAATCATTTCGGATAATTTTGCCAGATATATATATATATATATATATATATATATATATATTATATT